AGAACTATTGTCTTGTGGTTGCACTTAGGTGGCAATTGCTATTATAAAAAGACCTCTTTGGAAGTTGAAGGGACCACTGGCTTCAAGCAAAAGTACTTTGAAGATGACAGATCTCTTGGTGTGTGAGGAAGGACAAGAGTCACAACCCCTGAAGAGGGACACAAGAGAATCCAAACTGAGGGAAGAAGATGAGGAAGATGCTGAGCTCATCTTCGTTGGGGTGGAAGATGTAAATAATGACGCTGAAATTGTCTTTGTCAGGATGGTTTCAAAACCGGCCATTTCAAACATTTTGAATAGAGTTCCCCCAGGCTCCTATTCAAGAAGAAAGAAAAGCCATCTCCATCAAGATTCTGCTCAGGGGTCTCAGCCTGCAAATCACACGGCCCCACAGCAGACAGCAAAAAACGTGGTGCTGGTTCCTCCATCTGAAGGGAGATCGACAGATGGTCCTATGACGCTTGAGTCTTCATCTAAACCTGGTTGTGAAATGAGCTCACCACAAGTTGTTCCTCAGAATTCCTTGGATTTGCGCTCTGCAAAACCTCAGGGCCCAGTAGGAACTATGCTCTCTGTGGGAGGCAGAGATGAGAGTCCTTGGGATTCAAAGCGACTCTCCATTTCGGATATAAACAGCAAGAATCTCAAAAGGGCTAAACTCAGGGATGGAATCCCAGGGGTGTGCTCTTTAGTTGTGGTCTCCTCTGATATCTCTCCCATAATGACCAGTTCACCCTCCCGGGGCGTCCCCAACACATCAAGCTGTGTTCAGGATGAAGCATCATTTCTGTGGGCTGATGATAATGAAAAGCCACATTTCAGTCTTGTGGATCCAGATGGAGCAAATGGCCCTGAAGGTCTGGTACTAACAGACTTTTCTAGTCTGGCAAGTCAAAACAAGAACTTTGACCCTGAGAAAGGAAATCTGGTCATGCTACTTAGTGACTTCTACTACGGACAGCATAAAGGAGATGGGCTGCCAGAGCAGAAGACACACACAACCTTTAAATGCCTCAGCTGCTTGAAAGATTTGAAGAATGTTAAGTTTATGAATCACATGAAGCATCATTTGGAACTTGAGAAGCAGAAGAGCGATAGCTGGGAAAACCATACCACCTGCCAGCACTGCCACCGACAGTTTCCCACTCCCTTCCAGCTGCAGTGTCACATCGACAGTGTGCACACTGCCCAGGAGCCCTCTCCTGTCTGTAAGATCTGTGAATTGTCATTTGAAACAGATCAGGTCCTGCTGCAACACATGAAGGACAATCATAAGCCCGGAGAAATGCCCTATGTGTGTCAGATTTGCCATTACAGATCGTCGGCCTTTGTTGATGTGGAAACACATTTTAGAACGTGCCATGCTGACACAAAAACTTTGCTTTGTCCATTTTGTCTCAAAATTTTCAAAACTGCACCACGATATGTAAATCATTTTTGGAGTCACTGGAACAAGAGGGTGTTTCGATGTCCCAAGTGCCGGCTACAGTTTTTGACTTCGAAAGAGGAAGTAGAGCACAAAACCAAGAATCATCAGACATTTAAAAAGCCAGAGCAAATAGAAAGGTTACCTCCTGGAACAAAAATTATTATTCAAACTTCAGCTCAACCAAGATGAAGAGATGTGGCTTCCGTTATTGTAAACAACACTGAGCTGGGCTGTCAACTATAAAATCTTGGCTATGGACACTAGAGATTTTAGACTCCCTTGCCACAAGAGTTCTAGCTAAAAATATTTTCTTTCTTTGTTTTTTTTTTTTTTTAAATTGAGACAGAGTCTCAATGTCACTTGGCAGAGGGCTGCTCAAGCGATTCTCTTGCCTCAGCCTCCCTAGTAGCTGGGACTATAGGTGCTGACCACACCTGACCATTTTTTTGTTGTTGTTATTTAGCAGGCCCAAGACGGGTTCCAACCCACTAGCCTTGGAGAATGTGGCTGGCACTCCTACCACTGAGCTATGGGCACCCAGCCTAAAAATATTTTGTATACATCTCCAAGAATTCTGAAAGACAGAAGTGAGGCTCGGCCATCTGTATATCTATGGCTTCAGATGCTAAAAAGTAGTGGCATCAACTGTCAGGTTTTACACCTCTTGTCAGCTATCTGTTATCTAGAAGTAGCTCAGAATTCTGTTTCATGCCCGCTCCCATTCAAAACCTTCCCCGCAAAGTAATCAGTATTCTTACCTCAACAGCTATAGATTTTTCCTGTTTCTGAACTTTTTATTTATTTATTTATTTTTATTTTAAATTTTTTTAGTGAGCACTTTGGCTCCTCTGTAATGTTTCTGAACTTTTATTTTATTTTTTGAGACAGAGTCTCACTCTATCACCCTGGGTGGAGTGCCATGGTGTCCTAGCTCCCAGCAACTTCAAAGTCCTGGGCTCAAGTGATCCTCATGTCTCACCTTCCTAAGTAGCTGGGACTATAGGCGCTTGCCACAATACCCGGCTAGTTTTTCTATCTTTAGTGGATACAGGGTCTCACTCTTGCTCAGGCTGGTCTGGAACTCCTGAACTCAAGTGATCCATGCACCTTGGCTTCCCAGAGTGCTAAGATTACAGGTATGAGCCTGTTTTTGAACTTTAAATAAATGGAATTTCCCAGCACTTTGGGAGGCTCAGGCAGGTGGATTGCCTGACCTCAGGAGTTTGAGACCAGCCTGAGCCAGAATGAGACCCTGTCTCTAAAAAAATGGATTCTTGTCTGGCTTTTAAAGAAGCAAGATACATTTTGGCTCTGTGTAACAGTAAAAGCACATTCTTTTTCAATGCTGGGTAGAATTCCATTGAGTGAACATGACATAGTTTTATATGTCTGTTTGACTGTTGGTGTGCTTTGAGGCTTATTCTTTGGCTGTCTGGAGAAAGCTGCTCTGTTTGTGCATATCTTTTGGTAGACATGTAGTCATTTTTCTTTTCCTTTTTTTTTTTTTTTTGAGACAGAGTCTCATCTGTCACCCTCGGTAAAGTGCTGTGGCATCATAGCTCACAGCAACCTCAAACTCTTGGGCTCAAGTGATTCTCTTTTCTTAGCCTCCTGAGTAGCTGAGACTACAGGTGCCTGACTGAATAAATGTAGTCATTTTTGATGGGCACACATAGCTGTAAGGGCAAATGCTGCCATTGTGTGCATTTAGCTTTAGTGTAGATTTAATATAATTGAAAAAATGAGGTTTTTTTTTTTTTTAAGACAGAGTCTCTGCTGCCTTGCTAGAGTGCCTGGGACTCAGCTTTGCTCAACAGCAACCTCAAACCCCTGGCATCAAGTGGGACTACAGGTGCTTGCCACAATGCCCAGCTAATTTTTTGATTTTCATTAATAAAAGAGACAGGGTCTTCCTCTTGTTCAGGTTGGAAAATAATTTTCATACCACCATCAATATTTCTGAAGGCCATTGCTGCTGATCCAACACCTTGTACTGATAGTCCTTGACATTAGTGTCCTTTTATTGAAGTTGTAGTGGTATATACAACTTGGTGGTTTTAACCTGCATTTCCCTGATGAGTTATTTTTACATGGTTATTGACCACTTGGATAGTGTCCTCTTTTACATGTCTATTTCAAGTCTTGCTCCTTCCTTTCCTTTTAAAAAATTGGGCTGTCAACTGGGAAGTTTATGGAACCACTGAGACACTGGAAATGTCCTACATTCTGATCTGGATGGTGCATTCATGGGTATACGTGTGTACACTAAGGTTGGTCTTTCATGTGTCTTATTTAAAAAAATTATCTTTTGAGAAAAATGACAAGCAGTTATTGAAGGAGTGTTTATCAACATGTAACGTGAACAAAATAAGACTATTACAGTAACTTCATTTTGAATCTCATCTGGCACCAACTGTCTTTTAAAAAGTTATAAGTCATGGGGCAGCACCCGTGGCTCAAAGGAATAGGGCACTGGCCCCACATGTCAGGTGGCGGGTTCAAGTGAAGCCCCAGCCAAAAACTGTAAAAAAAAAAAAAAAAAAGTTATTTTTTGGGGACATTTTTATGCTTTAGAATAGAAGAAAAAGAGTCTAATTAGCAAATAATACATAATTAA